GGGCAGAGGAAGGAAGGGGCAGAAAGGGGAGGGGAGGGCATGTGGGCGCAGAGAAGGGAAGGGAGCCTGTGGGCACTGGGGGGCATGTGGGGCACGGAGAGAGGAGAGAGAGAAATGGGGCCAGGGGGCACGGAGGTGTGGGCACAAGAAGGAGAAGCAGCCACGCGGGGCCGGAAGGCCCGGGGCGGGTCAGCGAGACGCACCCCCTCCGCCGCTGCGCAAGGCTACTGGGGCACGGAGACTCCTTAGCGGCCGCGCGTCCAGAAACCCCGGCGGGCTGCCGCGCTACGCGAGGCCGGGGCTTGTGGGCCTGCAGCCCCGGCTTCTTCTGCCCCCGCCCCCGCGGGGCCAGGGTGCGCCCGGCCAGGCAGCCCGGCCCGGCCCCGCAGCCCGGCCCGGCCCCGCCGCTGCCCCACGGCCGGCCCAGCCCGGCTGGCGGGGGAGGGGGGCAGCGAGAGGAGCAGCCAGGCTGGCCCTCCCCGCGCGCCCGGCCTTACCTCTCCATAGCGCGCCCACGTGTGCAGCCGAGCGCCGGCCGCGTTTCCTGGGCACGCGCCGGGGCGCCGGGGGCGCAGTTCTGCCTGCGACCAGTGGGGGCGGAAGAGCGCAGTCGCCAGGCCACCGGCTGATGACAGACCTTTGTACCCTGCCTTCATCCCGGGGATGGAGAGGGATGCTCCAGGAAAGCACAATGATGCCACCTTCGCATCGGGAGCTCTGAACCTCTTCTGTGTCGCGGACCTCTTTGAGAGTCTGGTGAAGCCTTCCCAGAAGAATGTTTTTAGGACGGCTAGGTAGAGATGACTCCGTGAGTATAGAATTCCAGGCCTGGAGTCAGGAAAGACCTGAGTTCAAATACAGCCTCAGACCCTCACTATCCCAGTGAGCCTGGGCAAATCACTTCATCTCCATTTGGCTCACTTTTCTCATTTGTAAAATGGGGGTAATAATAGTGCCTGGCTCCCAGGTGGTTGTGTGAGTCTCAAATGAGATATTTATAATGCACCTGGCAGATAGTAAGTGTTGTATAAATGTTAGCTGTTATTAGATGAATAAAATAAACATACCTAGGATTCCAAGAAAACCGATTATTTTGATATACAGTCATCAGAATTAAACAAACAAACAAATACATTCAGGACTCCACGTTAAGAACATCCCCCAGCTACCCAACCGGGAGTACCTCCCTTAGTCCAACACTTTGTCTCTCTTTTGAATATTGCTGTTCAGTTGTTTTTCAGTTGTACCCAACTCTTCATGATCACATTTGAGGTTTTCTTGGCAGAGATGTTGGAGTGGTTTGCCATTTCCTTCTCCAGCTCATTTTACAGATGAGGAACTGAGGCAAACAGGGTTAAGTGACTTGCCCAGGGTCACATAGCTAGTAAGTTTCTGAGGCCAGATTTGAACTCAGGTCTTCCTGACTCCAGGTCCCATGCTCTATCCACTACATATCGACCTACCCCATTTTGCATATATGTACATATATTATCATGTAAAATATATTTGTATATAGAATATATATAAATACTTCTCCTTCATCTAGGTTTTAATATGGAGGGCAGGTACTGTTTCACTCTTGTCTTTGCATAGTGGATAGAGAGCCTGCATTGGCAAGGAAGACCTGTGACATATGCTGACTGTGTGACCCTGGGCAAGTTACTTCTTTCAATGCTCTAGGTAATTGTCTAACACTATTAACTGCAGAGAAGGTGCTGACTTGCATTGGTAGAGGGAGTTTCCTCATCTGGGAATTCCATATAATCCCTTTCCCATTTTATTTCTTTCCCCTGAACCTAGCTCAGTGTCTGGTACAGAGTAGGCATTTATAAGTGCTTGTTGATTGAATTAGAGTTAGAAAGAACCCCCAAAGTTTTTTCATCCAGCATTCTCATTTTACAAAGGAGGAAACTGAGACTCAAATAAGTGAAGATACTTTCCTAAAGTACAATCTGATAGAAAACTGTTACTACCATCTAAAATGCATACCTCTGAACTCTTGACCATTCCACCTTTTGAAATCCTGTCCCTGTAATATTATTCCTGAAGATACTTTCAGTGAAAGTATGTAAGACGACTGGATATCTTAATACCTTTATTCATTTAGAGATGGAGTACCTTCTGAAAGAGATCCCAAAATGAAAACTTCCATTATTATAACCAAATTCCATAGCTTCCAGGTCAAGGAGAAAATATTGCAAGTAGCCAGGAAAAAAAAAAACTGAACAATTCAAATTTTCATGAAGCCGCAATCAGGATAACACAAGATTTACCAGCTTCTACATTTAAAAATCAGAAGGCTTGGAAAATGATATTCCAGAGGGCAAAGGAGCTAGGATTACAACCAAGAATCACTTACCCAGCAAAACTGAGTATTATCTTTCAGGGGGAAAAATGGATATGGAATGAAATAGAGGATTTTCAAACATTCCTGCTGAAAAGACCAGAGCTTAATAGAAAATTTGATTTTCAAATGCAAGACCTGAGAGAAGCATAAATAAGTAAACAAGAAATGCAAATAGTTCAAGGGATTCAATAAGGTTAAACTGTTTATGTTCCTATATGGGAAGATGATAGTTGTAACTCCTAAGAACTTTATCATTATTAGGGCAGTTAGAAGGAGTATACATAAACAGTGGGCATGGTGTAAGTTGACTATGATGAGAAGATATCTAAAATAATAAAATTATGGGGCAAGAAAGGGAGATGCACTGGGAAAAGGAGAAAGGGAAAGTTAGAATAGGGTAATTTATCTCACATAAAAGAGGCACAAAAGAGCTTTTACAGTGGAGGGGAAAATGTGGGAGAGGGTGGCAGGTGATACTTGAACCTTATCCTCATTGGAATTGGCTCAAAGAGAGAGTAACATACTCATTTGGGTATAGAAATCTATCCTACTCTAGAAGGAAGTAGAAAGGAAAAGAGATAAGAGAAGGGGGGAGCTGATAGAAGGGAGGACAGATTCGGGGAGGTGGTGGTCAGAAGCAAAACATTTTTGAGGAAGGACAGGGTGAAAGGAGAGAGAGAGAAGGATGAACGGGGGAAAATAAGATAGAACGACAGAATAATCAAAGCTAGGAAAAAAATTACAACAAATATCTTTGATAAAGGCCTCATTTCTCAAATATATAGAGAACTGAGTCAAATTTATAAAAATATGTCATCCCCCAATTGATAAATGGTCAAAGAATATGAACAGACAGTTTTCAGATGAAGAAATAAA